CGACTTGAAGATCCCACAATTTGGTGACAAATGGACTTCGTGTTTGATAAACAAAAAATAAGGGTTATTCACTATGGAAATTGGAAAAGTTAGCTACTGCCTTTTGTTTTACTTTGGTCCTAAACCCTCTATATATCTATATGATGACCATACTGCCTTTTGTTTTAAACTTTTAAAATGCCAAACCTTGATGCTTTGTTTTGCTATTCTTTTTATTCACACAGGTAGCTTATGTGTTCTGATTTTTTTTGGCAATTTTGTAGGGGCTGGTGAATGCTCTAACCACACTAGTTCCATATGGTGAGCATCGTTTCTGCGTGAGACATCTTTGGTCAAATCTACAACGTGCTCAAAGAGGTAACAAAACCACTAAAGACATGTTATGGGTTGTTGCTGGATCATCATATCAGGCTGAGTTTGACAAATGTATGTTTGAGCTTAAGGAGTACAATGAAGAAGCATATAAGTGGTTAATGAAAAAGCCAACATCACAATGGTTTCGAGCATACTTCTCTACCTATTGCAAGATCGATGTTTTGTTGAACTATCATGCTGGGTCTTGGAATAGGAGCATATTAGCTGCTAGGGTGAAGCCAATCATAAGTATGTTTGAAACCATAAGATGCCAACTGATGATTAGGTTCCCTAAGAATAAAGATTTTGCTGAGAAAAAATTTACATGCCAGTTATGCCCAAAAATCCTCAAAAAGATAAAGGCTGCTAAGGATGCTAGTTTTGATTGTTCAGCTCTACCTAGTGGTTCTACTACTTTTCAGGTTCGATGTCTTGAGGGGCAGGTTGTTGTAGATTTGAACAAATGTACGTGTACATGTAGGAAGTGGGAGTTGATTGGCATACCATGTTCGCGTGTTGTTTGTGCCATATTTTCCAAGCGTGAGAAGGTTGAGTCATATGTGGATAAATGATATGAGGTTGCCATCTACATCAGTACTTATAGTTTTAAGTTGGCATCTATGGTTGGGCCGGAATCATGGAGAGACATTTACCAACTTTTATTTTGTAAGAAATACTTTTTGCAGCCAACTGCATCTATCATTTTGTGTATATTAGGTGGCAAGAATCAACCCACACTTCATTAACTTACTTGAGACAGCTACATCAAACAAAGTAGAGGATAATGCAAACTATATGATAATACTTACCGAAATGGCTTAAGAACTGAAAATAAATATACATTCATAAAAACTAGGAGAGAAGAAAAAGTAAAGGGGGAGAAAAAACAAAGTTTAATTGAGAACATATGAACTTTTAATGGGAAAAGAAGAAGCAAACATGAGATTTTTAATGGTGGAGATGAGGAGCAGAGGCTGAAAGTGAAGAAAGAGGTTGTTGGAAGGAGGAAGTTTTAATAGGATTTTAGTGTGGAAAGATCACTTTTTGGCTCCAAATATTCCCTCCATAAGTGAATCATCAATTCTAGTATATGTGGCAAGGGTGATGTATCAAAAGAATAATATTTAATTCATTCTGTTAGTGGGCTGGATGGAAATATTAACAGACACACTTTAATTGGATTTAAGTGGTATCCGATGCACTAAATCGACTCAAGTGGTATGGCTTCACCTAAAGCAACACATAAGTGGTACGCGACCCATTTCACCTTGAACAATAGGTGATTTAGTAATTCGAGCCGATTTAACGGTGTTTGGTTGAAAAATGCAATAGAATGGCAAGTTTGGGAATTGGTTATAGCAGAAGGGCATGTTTATGTGAAAAATAGTAGAGGGATAAGTTTAAGAAAATGTCATAGTAGAAGGGTAGATTTTGGTATTAACCCTAAAGTTAATCGGGGAAAAGTTAGTTACTTCCATAAATAGTAAGTGAAGGATTATAAAAAGTTATTAACCATAAGGTTATGGACCGGATGCTCTCCCCTCTTATAGATTTACATACTCCAAAGTAAAACGAGAGAGAGAGAGAGAGAGAGAGAGAGAGTGAAAATAGCGTAACATCATAACGTGAAGAAATAAAACTTATATAAAAGTTCCTACTCTATAACTAGATTATAACTCTGCTTATTGGTCTAGAGAATTTGATTTTCATGTATAATTTAGGTTCTAAAATTTATTTTAGCCGCTCGATTAATTTTGCCTATTTGCTTAGCAGTTCCCTAACGTTGCACCCACATTATAAGTAGCGATTTAGTTATGCGTTGAGAAAATAGAATGGGAGATAGATAGCTATTGGGTTCATTTCTTCTTTCTATTTAGTTTTTCACTTTGTTTCTTGTATTTGATTAACGTGTCCTTGATGATTGCAGTATAATGCAATACAAGTAACAAAATCCTAGATGAACTAGGTTCGTATTCCAGGAGGTCTTTTGATGGTAACTACTCAAACCTAACAAATTATGCTCATTTATTATGATGCATCTCCCTTCCACTAAGGCTAAACTATCCGATCTTTCGCCACATGCGATAGGAATTTAACTAGCTAATGCATGCTTTAGCCTCATGCCATCAATCAATTAATCAAGAGCAAGGAAGTAACATAGAATACGGGTAAGTGCGGTCTCCTTGAGCCATAATTCATAGTTTATAACATCGATGATTGATAACACTATATTCAAACTTGTTTCCCCGTCATTTCTTGAACGTTTGAGTCTAGTTTATCGCTCTCGTCGCCTGTTTTACGCTTGTGTGTGTTAGTTTATGATGTTTCAGGCCTTAGTGCGTGAACGGGAGCGAAAGAGCGAGTTTCGAGACATTCTGGAGCGAATGGGTAGCGAGTACCTGGGACTACGACCAAGCCTTGCAAGTTATGGTCTGGCCCGTAACTGCGCTCAAGGAGCCATAAATGTCGAGTGAAGACTGACAAGGTTCCAAAGAGCTTTTCTAAGTTACGGCCAGACCTTCAAAGTTATGGTCTGTACCGTAACTCAACATTTGCAACCGTAACTCCTGGGTAGCGACATCAGTGTCAGAGAAGCCTTAACTCCTAGTTTATGATGTCTCCCTCTTCAAGTTACGGTCGAGGCCGTAACTCCTCCAAAGAAGTCGTAACTCTTGGTTAACGGAGTGCAGCAACGACATCATTTCTGGAGAGTTATGGGTGGGCAAGCCAAGTTACATTCGTAACTTAGGCCGTAACACGCGAATTCTCAACTTAGAAAAGAGATTCTTGGGAAAAAGGCAAAGGATCCGGATTTTCTGAGTTCTAAAGGCAGAAAAAGAACTTTAGGGAGAGAGTGACGAAGAGAAACCCTTGGGCAAGGATTGGAGCAATCTGAAGTCTTCGGAGCTTGATTCCTCAACCTCGGAGTAGCGATTAGCTGCCAGGAGCAGATTCCAATTGTTGTTTTGATGATGTCTTCTCCGAGCATGACGTTCTCACATCTCTCCTACAGTCTTGGTTTATTCATACCACCATGGTACGCTTTTCAAACCATAGGTATGCTCTTATTTCAATTCCAAACAATACCATATGGTATAGACTGGTAAAAAATGGCTCAATTGTTTTTGTTCCAAAAATATATAAAAGTGAATATCATTTTGAAGAGCAGAATTAATATGATCTAACTGTGCAAAAAAAAAATCTACTTAAAACGAGTGAGAAATCATCCGTTAAAGATTATGGGAGGGAAAATTAAAGACTTTTCAGAAGAGAGAAGGGGTGTTAATGTGGCGGATGGTGATTGGGTTATGCATGGTTATTGGCCAGATCAGCTCCCGGAAACAACTCCTCACCTTTCCTTGATGAAGCATATGATCCCGATGCTCAATCCAATGATCCAGCACCTCCTCATTCTCCACCCAATCTTCCTCCCACCCATAGCGTCTCCAACGCTGCCTCGTCCTCGACTTCAGGCCCCAGTACCGCTTCGGCTCCGGATGCTCCCTCTCCGCCAACTGATCCACCTCTTCTTCGACGCTCATTGCACACAAATAAAGGTGTGCACCACCTCGTCTAGAAGACTACGTATCCTACGGTGTGGATACTGTCATCGTGCCTACCACCTTCAACAGGCTCGCGGAAATCTCGTTTGGGATCGAACCATGCAAGATGAGTTCTCTGCCTTGGACGCCAATTGTACATGGACGGTGGTCGATCGTCCCAATCCCTGTCCTCCCACCATTGGCAGTAGGTGGGTTTATGCAATTAAGGACTTCTTGATGGATCGATCTAACAACACAGGGCACGACTGGTTGCCCTTGGTTATACACAGGAGCATGGGGTGGATTATAATGAGACTTTTTCTCTTGTTGCGAAGATGTCTACAGTTCGAACCTTACTTGCAGTGGCAGCCTTATAGAACTGGCCTCTATACCAACTTGATGTGAATAAGTGATATATATGGAGCGTCAGCCTGGTTATACTGTTGCATGGAAAGATCAAGTTTGTCTACTGCATCGCTCTCTTTATGGTCGCACACAGGCACCTTGTGCTTGGTTTGAAGTACATAAAGAGAGGAGAGTGTCGGCTGTAACACAAGAACTCACTTTTTGATATACATCTCAGTAAACCAGTAGCCTGAAGAGCGTTCAAAGCTCTTCCGTAGATTAGTTATGGATATCCAGAGATAGCACGTAAACTCCGGTGTCTGTGTTTGATTACTTTACATTTCCTGTTAAATCTGATTATGTATCTCTCAACAAAGATATTACAAGAAGGTAAGTTCTTAACAATCTCAATGATATTATAGACGATGACCATAGTAGCATACAATAGATTCATAAACATCGAAAAAACATTAGATGTGTTATAAACGCGCTGCTACGGATCGGGAAATCGCAGGAATCGACAAAGCAAGAATACGAAAGCGAGAATCGAAAACACGACACACGATTTACGTGGTTCACTAACACGATGTGTGTTAGCTACGTCCACGGGCGAGAGAGAGCCAGTTTCACTAACAGCGAGACCCCCGATTACCAGTCGTAGCGGCTGATAATCCGATTCAAGTCACATCAACAAGATGATATAAGCATCGATCTCTACTTAGTTAAAACATTAGATGGAAACATTAATGTTGGGCTCCAACCATACATTTGGTTTTCTTGGAGACTCAAAAGTAAAGTGAGCTTGAAATTTTTTACATAAAACCGAACCAAATAATAAATTAAATAACAGAATTCACACCAACCTTTAGCATGAATAATAGTCAAGAAAATACTCCTAAGAATTAAAGAAAAGTGGTCAAGAACTCCCAGCAAACTGTCGACGACCAGACTGCCTTGTAGTTGTAGTCGAAGCGACGACGAGTTGAGAAACTGCAAGAGGAGGCCGGCGAGCGAATACACTGCCGGCGACATTCATCGCAGCCACCGCACGGGTGCAGGATCCCGGGTTCCGACCGGGGATGTTGGTGCACGGATTGGGACCCGACCCGCTTACCGGACCCCGCTGCAGGGACTGCAACAGCAATAAATGATTATCATCAGCACCGCCTTCTTCCTTCAGCGGCCTCATTTCAGCTGGTTGCAAACAAGAAGCCGAGAAAATGGCCAAAACCAGCAAGACTGAGAAGACCATGGCCCTCATCTTCCGTTGCGTGATCTGAATATGAAAAGGATGAATCCTAGTTCTGATGCTGATGAACGGAGAGCAGGAACTTGAGAAGTAGTTTCAACTTTGTTAAGGAATGAATGGAGAAATGAGGTTAGTAGATGGGAGAAGCATGAAAGAGTTAGCTACTTATTTATATTGGATAGGGAGGGGAGGAATTTGACTGCGATCGATGGCTTCAGAAATCAACGATCAATATTAAATAATATTCTTCTCGTTTAGGGAAGGCTATTGACGCAGCAGGTCCAACCCCAATCGATGTGGAATTGATCAATAGAACACCACACGGTTCGGTCAGTGGGCTTGGGTTTGACCATCATTTCCCGCGCCCCTGGACCCTAACAAATTCATGTAAAGTGTGTAACCAACCTACGAAATTAATTTAAACAAACCCATTGGTCTGCTCACTTCACATTTGAATTTTTCAAATTACTTCATATTTCAATTTCTCCAATCATAAACACCAAGAAAGAAGGGGTAATTTGTTCCTTTTGATTTATGGCTCTCAAGTCTCATCCCAAATATCATTGATGAATTATGTACCGGTTAGTTTCATCAAATTAATATTCAAAATGTGTTTGTAAAATCGTATAGAATGTCATATTGGACAGACATGTGATATGATATTTTCTGGTATTACGATGATTTGATTGTTTTATACATGTCGAACACCGTTTTCTTTCATTCCGGTTTGTGTTTCGATTATGAATTTTCCGAGTAAGTCTATCGATACAATAATGATTTAATGAACCAAATTTTGAAAGTGTTAGTAAAATATTTTTTTTCAATTTTCTAAAACTAGAGATTCTTTGTGAAGCATGAGGTTTTTATTTATAGATATTTTCTTACCCTTGTCCTAACATCCCAATTCATTAACTTCTTCATCAAGGTATTTGAACGTTTGGTCCTGTGCTGTGCGTGAGTTTTATACGAGGAACAGGAATTTTACTGATAATCCTGAAGTTTTCTTCTATGCCCTCAATCAAACACTCTCAATCATGTTTGATTTTTCCCTTTACTTAATTTATGCATTATAAAAATTTATCATCAACGATTTTCAAACAAAATAATCTCTTAGAAAAGCGGATTCTTGGTGTAGTGTTGTGGCCCCAACAAACGTTTTGTTTTGGTCCTAACTCCTAACAACATCGCAATCCCGTCAAGCGACGTTCTGGACTCGCTCTACCAACCAACCACATTCTGGTGGTGCAATCTCGCTACTAGCTAGAAATGAAATTCATCTGGTCTTGTATTAATCGTGAAGATATTAAAGATAAAGCGATTTAATCGATACTTCCCTGATAGATTTATTTACACAGGAGTAAAGACTCAAGAGAGAGGAAATATCCTAACATCATAAAGTTATTTCAAATTTAGGGTGTGTTTGGATAGAAGGATTTGAATTTGGTATTTGTGATTTGGATTTCTAAATGTCAAATCAATTGTTTGAATATTAATTATATTTGGTATTGGAATTTGTGTCAAATTCATGATGTGATCTCCAATACATGTCTAGTGTATTATTTGTCAAATTCAAATACATATCAACAATTAGTGATTTGAAATTCCTCCTAACAAAAGATTGGACATGTTTGTAAAATTTTAAAAGTTTAAGTACTATAGTGTGAGGCAAAACATATAAAGGTATCAAAATGTAATTTCACCACCAAATTTTTTGGGCCTTTTTGTAAAATTTTAAAAGTTTAGGTACTAAATTGTAAGAAAGAATAAATTTAGGTATCAAAATAAAATATACCAAAATTTGTAGTACATGACTATAGGTGTCAATCAGGCGGGTTCGGGCTGGGTTCAATTGGATTGCGGGTTAGTCGGGTTGCGGGTTCAGCGGGTTGCGGGTTCGTCGGGTCGGGTTCAATCGGGATTCGGGTTAGTCAGATTGCGGGTTGATCGGGTTGCGGGCAAATTGGGTTCGGGTTCGTCGGGTTTCGGATCGGGCGGGTTGCGGGCGGATTGGGTTGTGGGTTGCTCGGGTCAACGCATCGAGTTACTTATTTAAAATATTTTTCACAATTTTTAACCAATTTCTTTCTACCTCATATATATACTTAATTAAAAAAAACTAGTCAAAATGTTGAATCAATTTGTATGACTTGCAAACTTGTCATGTAATTAATCGTAACTGGTAAAGTTCACTAGCCAATAGTAATGGTGATATCAACATTTGTAATCAATACATTATTAACAAACCATACATTCAGTAAACAAAACACTACTATAAAAGCAAAGAAAAAAACACTTTTCCTATCTCAACATTTTTATGCAGCAATATAGAGTAACCCAAACAAAATTTGGGCGCCAATATAGATCAATCCAAACGAAAATTGGAAGGCCTTTTGTAGCAGGAATGAAGAAATTGGGCGGCAATATATATCAAGAAAAGATAAAATTGGACAGCATTTTGCAACGATAAGGGAAATGGGCAACAAAAAAGACACATTTTGTTGTTAACCACAATAACAAATCTCTAAATACCCTCATCACAAACTGCACCACTATGGCTAGTGGTAACCACTAACCGATGCGGTTCGGTGTGGTTAGTTTGTGGTTAACGCATAAACCAATTTACCAAACTCATAAATTGATCTATATTTTTCTTATAAGTTTGTTATCAATAAAAATTAAGAGAGATATGAAGGATAATATAAATGGTAAAAAATGAGAATCATATATCACATAAGGAAGATATATCAAATAAAATATATACAAAAATTAAAGCAATAAAATATATGAAGAAAATCACAAAATATAAAAAACCGATAAAACTATTAAAGGGTAGTCCAACATTAACAACAATTCACTATCAATCTTATTCAATAAGATCACAACAATTCAATAATTAGTAGAAGTTAGAATCTTTTATAACTAATTCAAAAATATAACAAATAAATTATTAAAGTGCTAACTACTAAACTTTACCCTACCTATTAATATTAATTATTATATACTAATACATATAAAATAAAACTTCAATGAATAAGTGTGGTTTGTGCAATTATTATGGTTTAACCGTAATGATTAGTGACTAACCACTAACCACTAAATTCATAATTTTACTAACCACAATAAAACCACTAATCGCAAAATGCGGTTAGTGGTTAACCAAACTACGTGTGGTTCTGTGCAGTTTGTGGTTAAACTGCAAGCCACAAAGCAAACTTCCACCCTATCTATAATAAGATTTACTATAGACAATGTCTTAGTAACTAAATGATAAACTCTTAACACATAACGTTGGTTAAACAACCGACACAATTACGTTGGTTTTTCACCTATACAAAATGAAATTTTTTTTTATTTTTTTAAATTAGTTTCAAATTATTAGTCAAACTTAAAATTTATTTTTTTAGAGGTTTCACAATCACCATTCACCGCCTAACATTTCATCATCACCCGCTCACCACAATTGAAATTTGAAATCCCGCATTCCCACCACAACTAAAATTGGGCCGCCCATAATTTCATCATCACCCACCCACTACAATTACACCAAAAACACAAAATCCTTCCCTCTGCTTGCAAAAAATTGGGCGTCCAAAATTTCATCATCACCCGCCCAAAATTAATTCTTACCCTGACAACTTTAGAACTGCAAACGAGCCGAGCTGAGCCAAGCTATTGCCCAGCTAGGTCTCAAGCTCGATAGAAGATTGCCCAGCTCGAACTCAGGTCAAGCTCGAAACAAACTACACAAATCAAGCTCAAACTCAGCACGTCACAAATTATATGAACTCGAGCTCGACTCAAACTCAACAATAACTCATAAATGAGTTCAGCGAGCCTAACAGAATGAGCCCAACTAATTTTAAACTTGGCTTCATACGGGCTTTGACAGCCCAAAAAATATTTCATTGGCTACATAAGTTGCCCATTTCGATCCGAAGAGGAAGCAAACCGGCAGCCCATTTCGCAAGGCCACTTGTTCGAGTTGCAAATCCCACTAGTTTTTTATAACTGGATGGAAACATGGCATCTATATTGGCCACCGATGTGGTACAAAAGATACAGAAAAGGCATAAAAACAAACTAGTTCCTCGACTGGGTTTGAGGGGAAGGATGTCTTGAAGCTGATTGTTGCTGGCATGGAGAAGCTGGCAACCGTGCGCCAAGTGGCGGAGGCACCAATGTTGTGCAGCTGCTGCAGCTCCGACAAAGGAGTAGAATGAGGAGTCTGATGGGGTGAGTTTCCTTTCATAGTCCTATTATGCTTTAGCATTATCAAGATATCGAACTTGAATTGGCGTCCAACTTCTGCTATTGGTTTTGTGCATTTGATGTAGACAGGGAACTGGAGCTGCTTGAGCCCTTTTATAAGCTATCAGCTTTTCGTGGCAGAATAGGCTTTGTAGAAAGTGTATGGACGTTGGGAAACATTGATGAGATCATGATGCCCGAAGGTGACAGTAATAGGAATTTCATGCTAGTTGACACAAAAATTAGAGAATTTAGAGTCTAGCAATGAGAAATAGTCATGTTATAAGAACCGAACCGGATCAACGGCTGGTCCAGTAGAACCATCAAACCAGTTACGATAGCAGTCTTATTCATTGTTTGGACGGTTAGTGTTATATACAAGTCTTGTATGTTATATATCATCAACGATTTATCAATGGTTTTGTAACGGTTAACCACTAAACTCTAAACCACTACTTTAGTAAAATTATTGTGACTTCAATCATAACTTACTAAATAACATATATCCTATACACTTATCAAATACATTACTTTACTTTATTTATATTTAATTGATAATTTTATTGAATAGTTAAATTAATCAAAATTTTAATTTATATATTATGTTAATATTGCCCATGATCTCAATTGATTTTATATTTACTTTTTAAATTTTGTTAAAGAACTTAGTGTTCAAGTGACCTTCATGTTTCAAGTGAGTTTCATATTTTTTAAATTCCTTATACGAAATGAAAATATAATTTTACCTAAGTTTAGAATGAAAAACTTTATTTTGAAAAACGATGTATTGTATATTATAATAATTATTCAAGTGGACTAGGTGAAGTTCGGGTTGAGTCGGCCGGGTTACGGGTTAGTCGGGTTCGGGTCAATCGGGTTCGGGTTAATCGG